AAGCATTCCAACTTTTGGTTTGAGCATGAAACCATGTTGGGCTAATTTGTATTGATTTTACCTGCCAATCTAGATGCAATCACACTTTTAAAAGCAGATTCCTACAATTTGTTTTTCTATAAAATGTCACCAATACATTAAATACTTTGAAAACAGTCTTTGTAAGTCAATCTGCACTTATTAGATTTTTTTAAATGATAGCATTAGAATTCCATGCCTAGATTTAATTTTAAAATAACTCTACATGCTGAACATTTCCAAGGGCAGAGAAGCTAGTTTCCAATTATTTTCATGCTGTCAATGCTAAATCTGTTTAATAACTCACTTACCTACAAGCTATGGGTTCTCTGAAGACCTCCCCTTTCAGAGGAGGTGGGGGCACATGTTTACCTGAGGATATTTTATATTTTTAAAAAAGGGAAAATGCAGAACCATAGCCAAAGGAAAAGAAACAGGTCTTACCTTGTTCATGTCAAAGGTATTATAGACTTGATCAACATGTTGATTGGCCTTTTGATTCAGACCTTGCAGACCCAAGAATGTCTTAAATTCATGCAGTGTTTGCAGGCCAGATGGATATTCCATCATAAATTTTCTGTACCACACATAGGTCTCTTTAACAGGAATCGCTGTCTGACCACCAGCTGTAGATTCTCTGTTTCCCATTGTGACTCAGTCTACAGCTTTTTCTCTGGTTGTTTTCATGTAGGGTCTCTCCACATTTAGTCCCTCACTCTTCTCTAAAACTTGAGGCTGACATGTGCCATGAGAAAGCTACTCTAAACCTCTTACAGCTACGGGCTAAATAAGAATAGAAAGCCCGTGAGATTAACTCATCTGAACAGTTTTAAGATTAGGTCATTTACCACTAACGGATGACATTGTGCTTACTTGCTATTCAGAGATAACAGTTTTCTGTGAAGGGCAGAGACACTATTTCAGACAGAGTAATCCTTGCTATATTATTAGTCATAAATTCTGCCTACATCTTAGAGTGATGCAGTGGAGTCTAATAGAAGAACTTTGAGTTGCAATTAGGAAACTTGGGTTCCAGGGCTTGTTTGCCACATACTAACTACATTGACATGATATGTTCTCCAGTCTCAGTCTCCCCATCTGTAAAACAGTAACAAGGGTATTTGCCTTTTCACACCTAAATATTATGAAGATCAATTTAGAGGAAGAACATTTTTTAAAACCATGGAAAAATTATACATTGAGTATTGTTAAATTATCAGTAAGTCTATGTATAAGAGAGAGAAATGGTAAGAGATATCCCTATTATTAGTAGTAAAAAAACAACGTTGTAATGTAGTCAGCAGAAAAATGTGGTTTGCAGATAAAAGAACATATTGGACTGTGTCTTCTGGCATTGTTCTTGACTTTCCCCCCTTTTTCCACTGTTCTGTATTTTCTATCTCCCAAGTCTGCATCTACCCATGCCGTCTGCCTGCTAGTTTTATCCTACCCCAGCCCCCAAGCTAACCTTGTTTTAGCCAAGCCCCAATTGCAGTGGGCTTGGGAACTGAGCTCATGGGCCTAAAACTGTATCCATGCTCCAGTAAAGGAAACGATTTGCCCGTGTGGTCCCCAAACCATCTTGCTACCAACCATACTTAAGAGTAACAGAATTATTCCACGTAGGGTCATCTGGTCACAGGTTTGCTTCTTCTTGCCTAACCTTCCTCCATTTCCGTCCGCCCCCCC